TGTTTCATAACATTTCATTGAAAAATTATAGCCACTTAACTGCGAACTTCGTCCTTCATTTTTGTAACCTGTATGACTTTACTGCATATTTGTGGCTTATTTTGTGTATGAGTGTCTATAGTGGGCATGCTATTCGGTTGTGTAGATGCATTAGCTGTAGGCTAAAAGGTATTACTAGTTGGAAGGATTGTGGGTATTTCGTCTTGCTTTCGATTCAGCCGGTATGACATCATAGACAAGTGTGCCTATATCCAGACAATGAGGTGTAGAAAAAGCTATAATCATATGATGGCGTTGAAGTTCTATTCGTGATTAGCACTATCAATCACTTGATACATATCGTAGTGGCTCATTCATCCTTTATAGAGATAAGAATTAGAGATCCTAAACTAGAGTTTAGTAACACCTTGAAGTTGCTTAGTTATCAGTATTATTTTAATATGTGTGGTGATATATTGTGTCAGAATAATATTCACCTTCATCATTGTTCATGGTATCTGCATTATGAACAGTTCACAAGGATATGGTTAACAGATGAATAACCAGTTTTCTTGGATCAACTTTTACTGATGCTCCTCATTCTAAACAGGAGAAAAAAGTGTCAGTCATTTAAATGATTCTTATGTAGTTGGCTAGATTTGCCGACAAGGTCTTACCCAATAGCTATTGATATGCAGTGGCATACGTTTTTGCATTGTTCTATCTATAGGTTTCACTAGACATCTGACAATAAATGAAATGTTTAACTTTACAACTTGCAAGTCATTTTCAACTATATTTTATGCAGCATACTGGGTCGTCTAAAGTCGCAGGTTTGAAGAGGCGAGAGGTATCTGATCACAGGTGTCTGCGCAGTACTACCTGAGTTCTCTTAAACCAGTATGTGAACAATACTCAGTTCACGAGACTATAGACCTTGATCGGCTGAATTGATTGACTTTTTATTGTACATACCAAGCAAATAGTAATCGTGATGTGCCATGTTAAGTGAAGCAGAACTAGGTCACGGAAAATGTTAAAGATTACAAGAATAAAAAATGTATGAAGTCTCTGTCTTTTGATAAAATATACAGACGGAAGGAGGCTATCTGTCTGGCTAAGATCCTCGAGATGACGAGAGATGCCTAGTGTTATGGTTCGAAGTCGGTCACAGTGGCATAGATGTACTCACTTTTTATCATTCTTTATGTTTTGAACATTTTATTGGCTTGCTTTTATTCAACCTATTTTCTCTAAAAAAATTTATTTGTTTCCTTATTGTTCTTTTATGGTTCATTACATGTCTGTACGCTACAGAGAATGGTAGCCACTTAAATCTATACATTTCCACATTGATTTCTCCGACTCACGTAATTCATTAGATGTGTGGTTTTAAGAATTAGATTGGCAAACTTGAGTTTATGTTGACACATTGCTCGTGACCTCGGTTGGAAAGTAGTATTGCTGTCATCCAATGTGTACACTGCACTGGAGCACCAATCAGCATCCAAAGCGTATGAACTTCAAAAATGATCGTTGCTGACGCCATTGCTGGCTATTTTACAGTTCACCAACTAGATCATATGTCCATAGACCGAACCTTCTTAGCATAGAGTGATTTCATTATTGATGGATAGTGGTTAACAGTGAAGTCGAGGATACGCACTTCGTCCTGTTCGGGACTCATCAGTTGGATACATCATTACTATAATTAAAAACAGGCAATATCGAGGCGATCCTCACAGGAGCCCATATGCCAATAGAGATTGATCATTTCGGTCCAACCAACGATGGTATAATACAAGCAATTATACCACAAACTGATTTTCTTTTCCGCAAAAGTTTATATATATATATATATATATATATATATATATATATCAGTTGTTGATAAACATATAGGTTATTCCACGTTTATCTCAGTCACATCAGTATTTCATACTGGGCATCTACATACATAAGATGTGACATTTTGTGCCCACCCACATATACAAATATTCACTCTCTTTGCAAAAAGTCAATTCATCAACTAAAATCAGTTAACTGTAGAAATTCTTGTCCAAATCGAATGAGTGACTTTTTTGGATGAAATACAATAAGATTAAAATTTGTAGTTAGTTACTCATCAACTCACCGATGTATCAGATGTTATCTGTTGTCAGCATTGGAATCTAGAAGACAAATTTTATCCTACTAAAGTTGAATGAGTTGGGAATATCCCAGGAAGTTACGATATTTCCACTGAAAGTGAAACATGAATTTATAAATTCTGTTTACTTGTGTGATTACATGTGTTATACCTTGATACAGTATTATTTACTTAGTAATGGTTTGACTATAATCTGTTGTTTATAAACAAATCAAGGAAATCCCAAAACTTAACACAGTTTCACATTTTTTCTAATCAATATTGGTAATACAGTTTTCCAAATATCCAGAAGTGACAATGAATCATTTCTATTAGCATCTGTTCGATGTCAATTGACTTGACAAGGCTTCAATTACCAGTCTATCTCAGTGTCGCTCTCCAATATCTACATCATCCTTGAAACGAGGACTATATCCCATCCTAATGCGTTATTGTGTATGATAGAATGTATGGTAATGGCTGGTCTATTCTTGAAATCTGTTTTCCCTGGATAGTGATCTACCATTCTATATTTGGCTAGGTTTTTATGTTCTCCCAATCGGCTAGTTTGATCTATGTATCTGATATTAAAACCGCTACAGGGGAACTAGTTGGCCAAATGTTTTTGTTGAATACGCCCAATAGGATCCATTCGCTGGTAAAGTTCGTTCTTCATACATTTTGTGCACACAAATATGTATGTAATTGATAATCCTTTATCCAGCAACCAATACTCCCTCTCCATATGGTAATACTATGATAACTTTAAATGCCTTTCCCATGGTATTGATATTTGTATCTGTAACCACAGTTCTATTGGTATTTTTCTTACTGTTCTCTGTGTTTCTCGATGCACTTTTGAGTGTGATTACTGAGATCTGGTACGTTTGTAATGTTTTATTTATTAATACCAACTTTCTGACTTATTAGTCAATCGTTACGTCGTACAGAGTACGCTCTCATCACTCCGACGTTAACTAAAAAGGGGCTGTGGCGTAGTTGTACTTTCTGTCACATACAATAACGAAATACTACAGAACAGAGTGTCATAGGTAGGTTAAGATAGACAAACTAATATCTGAAGCTCTGTTTATTGAATCAGTACCTAAAACCCATAAGAGTTATAATTTAATACACATCCCGGATGTGTAGGAAATGCTAATATCAATAAAAATCAGAGAAAGAAATACAAGTGAACTATAAAGCCAATTCAGGAAGTTATTTAGTGACAGTAAAATGTTTATGAACAGTAAATAGTGCTCAATATGTTATCAAATGAATGATACCGAATCTTTTGTAACGCAGCAAACAAATTATTCTAATATGGAACTGTTTAAAGTCCACTCGAATATATATATATATATATATATATATATATATATATGATCTGTTTCAAGACTAACGCTTATTGCGTAATCTGTGTCGATCGCGATACAGTCACTTAGTACACTCTTGGGTTTGAAAAGATATGTGCTGGATTTGTTTAGCAATGGATAAACTGTCACTCACCTTTATGCAACGTATCTAGTGAATGAGCTGTTAGTAGGGTGAAGCTAAAATCCTGGATTGCACAAAACATGAAACTGAAAATCATGGCAGTAGTGATATTAGTTAGCGTAAAACAGTGGCTACATACAAACCAAGCGTAATCAAATCGCTTTAACTACATATCCAGCCATAAATCGCGGAATGTAAACAGGTTTAGCTTTTCCTGTGGCATGATTAAATATAAACCAACTGAAATTTTGCTGTTTTCTCATTCAACGCATCTCTGATCAATACACACTTTCGACAAACGAATCACACTACTTATGAGTAGACTTGAATATTTTGTATATTTATTACAATCAGTTATTTACTCACTGCCAAAAGAACAAGAAAAGACAATCACTGTGTTTGTCTTCATTGTTAAATATTCACTCTTATATACAGCTAGTTAGTTTTATGTGGTTTTGAACATGTAACGAAATCTTGTACTTTGATTTATTTCGATGTTGCGTGCCAAATTTTCGTAAGGTATTTCGCCTATTACGTTATCGCTAGAAAGGTATACCCAACTGATGAGTCTCAAATAGCAGGAAACATGCGTTATAGATCCCACTGATGACCATCATCCATTATTACTATTCGCTTTTTGCTACTGGAACAATTTCTTATAGCTGTGGCCTATAAGACTAGCATTATTAATACTAGGCGATGATTGAAAGTGAAATGAAAACCTTGGTCATGACAAGATTTGGACAAGCAGCCTCCAGATTACCGACCTGGTGCTCAGATCATCTTAACAACAATCAATACAGCACTATTCCTTTCCAATTTAGCTTGATTAGGATTGCAATGAAAATTCCTGGTTAGGTAGATCGGATGATTAGTATGAATGGATGGATATGGGTCACGCAGTCAAATGATATCCGGATAGAAATCTCAGTGAGTAAAGTAAAATAGGACTGAGATATAAGCTGAGTCTCGTAGCTCGGCTGATCCAGCACCAAGTCAAGAGTTTAGAGGCCACTGTTCCGAATCTCGCCATGAACCAGGGTTTCATTTCTCCGCCAGTCATTATCACGTATTTCGACTTTATCTCTTCGTAAGTTCGAATAGCTTGAAATGATACATTTGAACGATATTAACGAAACGTTTTTATAGCCGTCAAATTATTCTCTCATAATAAATAATAACTCGTTTTGATAATTAAGTATGTGGCAAGGGAATTGAAACAATGTTCTTCAGTAAGTCTGTAATGACAAACCATGAAGTTTTTTGTTGCTGATTTTCGAAATTTGGTGCATCAGGTTTTGATGACATTTTTGCCAAGTTTGACTAATTCTAGTCAATTTTCTTTCTAATACTACAGAAATAAGAATTCTAACAATCTTTTCTCCTATCCTTACAGGTTATTTTTAATCCTGGAGGAAATCCCAATTTTTTCAACTTTCATTTCAAATGTATATTGAATCATCAGGAGGTTATGGGAAGAAATGGAGTGGTCGTAGTCATACCGCAGCCTACTGTACAGACAATCCAACAGTTGGAGGTCATTGGGCTGGTGCTTCAGTAAAGGGTAAAACTCGTAAACTACTTGTAAATCAACCACAGTCCATATCACAACCACCATCAGGTACACTTTTACATCACCACCAACAACAGCAACAACCATCAATGTTACAACAACAACATTCCACTTTTCATTCACTGAATGGTTCTATGTTTTTCAGTAACCAACATTATCCTCTTTTAAAACATGCAGCATCATTCGGTTGTACTGGGGGAGGGCAGAATAGTCTTGCTGGGCGGGAGTGGATGGAAGAGATGCAGATAAAATCAGTCTCAGATATTCAAACAGACCAGATCACTCCAGATCTATTTTACTTACCTCAGTTGCCTAATTTAAACATTACCAATGCTATTATTACAACTGCTCATAAAAGTGGTAGCTGTACTAGTACGAACAATAATGAACTATTTTGTTATAATGCTTCAAAAGAGCCAAAAACGTTGTCAAAAGAAATAGCGCTACGCATAAAAGAGAAATTCGATCAACGTGTATTACGGCATTTAGCAAAATCCAGTCAAAAGTCTCATTCTCATGGAAATGTTTATACACCACAATATCATCTACTAGCAGTATTTTTAGTGAACAAAGGTCATGTTGAAGCATGGTATGCCTATGCACCAATGCCTGGAAACGTTACTGGCCAAGAGGAACCAGGGCATACTCGTTTATTAGAGTTAACTCAAAGACGATCACGACTATTACAACGTTATTATTCAGAGTGTAGACAATATGTTGTACTGTATGTGAACAGTAATCACTCAGAACACTATCTACCAATGGGTTTAGCAAGTGACCCAACGAATACAAGAAGTTTCAAACATTATCAAAGCAAAAATCATTCATTTTCAGTACGTAATGAATTGATTAGAGACGGGAATCGATTTTTTAGTCGACTTGTTAATTCTATACTTCCAAATAATATGAAGTTGATTAATACTACCCGTACTACTAATAGTACTGATGAAAACAGTAGTATGAGTAAAAGAACAGTCGTACAAACAGTTACTGAGACTTCTGATTATATAGAAGTAACAAATGAAACAGACAAAAAACAAGGACAACTAATAAATCATCAGAATGAAGAAAAACAATTCAGTGAAACAGTACAGTTAGTCGATAAAATGAATATGATTGTTCATAAACCTAATCTTATGAAGAGAATACTCGGACATTTAATTCCACATAATGAAAACAGTAATAACGATAATAATTACACCAAAGAAAGCTGTGCTAACAGTAACAATGAGAAAGTTAACTTGAACTGTTATAAATCTTGTCTGTCGTATGAAACATGTTTTATCAAACCCGATTGGCATCAGCAACACACATGCCGAATGGAAAAGGATTCTGCAATGGCTATGACAGTGACAACAACAGCAGGTATAACGGCTGTTGACACGACAGTTACGTCGACCATATACATGGACAGTCCAGTTTGTGATCTTCACAGAAATGATGAAAGTAAAGACTGTTCAACTTTATTTCCCTCAAACACTGATGAATTGTTTAGAGTGATTAGAAAATGTACCGACAAAAATTCATATGAAAATAATAAAGGCTATGATGATGCACGAGGTGACAATCTGTGTGAACAGAAGGAAGCAAACAACCGAAACAAACCGAACAAGATTATACTTCCCGTCGATAATGATGCTGCTTATGGTCAAGATGAAATCAGAGTTAAACAAACAGACAGACTGTCAGGATCGGAAGAAATATGGCTACCTAAATCATTCCAGTTGTAAATTTACCATGAATTACGATAAGATAAAAGTAGTAAGTAGAATAATACTTTTATATTGACCTTTCTGAAATGCATAATTTCATTTTAATAGGTGAATACGAGCTTACGTGACGTCTGACAGAAGTACCCATTTGAAACAAAATATATATACACACTCAAATGAGTAGTATCAATTTCCTCTTTCTTACAGACAATTGAATAAACAAATAATTATTTAGAAGCATTGACGAACAGCTACAGCTCAGGATATAGATTTTCAGCTGAATTTTGGGTTGAAAACCGCTTTATACTAGATACCGTCATCAGTGGGACTTCACAATGTACTGATGACAATATCTAGTATGATAATCAGACGTCAACCAACTGTAAACGAGTCCACAGAACAACTCACTGCTAAAAGCATTTACATAAGGTAGCATAAGAAACACTACTAGTAATTCGAAATTATTTGCAGTGGTCACCTGGTACACAAAGATACACAAGAATCCCTATATATTTAGTCAAATACTAGGTGGGATTATGAACTACAGCGAGATCCTTACGATTACGTGAGATCAAGCTTCTGTTGGGTTGGTTAAGGGGGTTTATAATATCAGTGAGTAGTTAGCAGGCATGATGGCTCGTCATACTGACAAGCTGCCTATCGGAGGAAACTTAGTAAGCTAAACACTATTTAGTAGAATTGCTGTTCTGCTAGATGAACGTTAGAAACCCTTGTCAACATCACTGATCTACACACAAGGTTATTGTATATTGGAATTGTTTCAGAACTAGCCAGTGATACCATTTATTCATCTAGTGCAGTTGCAAATCTCCTGGTGATTCTATCTCTTTAATCACCTGCAATGAATATGTATCTATAGCTGATTCGAACAGTTATTCAACTTTCAACTAGTGGGTTCGAACTCCGCCTTACCAATCGGTGTTTGTTCAGCCATGTAGTATCACTAATCCTCGCACAGGTGTGAATCACTACCTACCACATGAACTAGTAAAATTTTGTAATGGATTAGTGTCCGGGTATATCTTACTTGAATATGTCTAACATCAGCAGATGTTTTCTTTGCTTTTATCTGTTTATGCAGAATACTGTCATCAAAATCACGACAAAAATGATAATCAGGAAACTTTTTACTTACTGTTTACTTATTCAATACATACAGACATCATCGTTTATCGTGAGTCTATCGGTAACACAGTTAAACTGTTTTTACAAGGAATTAGTGACTTCTAACTATTCTCTTTCCACAAAAAACAAACAAACAGATGACGATCATTTAGGTTACACAAAAATCTAATGTATCGATAATCAGATAATATTTCATATACTGGTCTGTGTTATATTTGGATATACAACCTTGAGATTAAAAAAATCTTTCATGTCACACTTTAACAACTACACTAAATATAGTGTTGGTCAGTAATTTTGTTTCTCCTATCTAAATAGGAAACTTGACCAAAGCGAAAAAACATCAAGAAATAAATATGCAACTATAGCTGTTTATCTGATAGTCAACATTCTAATGAAGATTACACATGATGTAGGGTACAAGTCTTGAATGAAGATTGATGATTTCCAGTTAGCTGACTATCATTTTCAAAATATTAAATTTTACCTAATAAAAGTATTTTGAAGTGAAGACAAGAGTGAAACAAGGTTGCCTACTATCCCCCATGGAATTCCTGATTGTGGTCGAATGGATCATGCAGCAAACAGTGGAGAGCGAGAAGAAAGGGATACGCTAGCTGGTTTGCGGAAAAGAACTTAGAAGATCTGGATTTCGCCGATGACCTGTTTCTGATGTCACACAAACTTGAAGATCTACAGGCGAAAACTAACAAGTTGACAGAAGAGGTGATGCAGGGTAGCGAAGACGGGACTTCAGGTGAATATAGAGAAGACAGAGGTGGTAAAGATACTCAACCAACAACACCAACAACAACAACAACAAGCTCCAATCACCATCAATGGGAGGAACTTAAAGGAAGTAGCCTCTTTCATCTGTCTAGGAAGCACTGTTTCAACTACAGGCGGCACAGACGAGGATGTCAAAGTCAGAATCGGAAAAGCAAGAGAGGCGTTCACTAACCTGAAACCAGTGTAGAGATCTACTCCACTACACTCAGCATAAAGCGTGAACAACATCCGGATTTTCAACACCAACGTCAGTCAAGTCAGTGCTTCTGTATGGTTCAGAGAAAGAGATTTCCAATAAACTACAGACATTCATCAACAACTACCTACGCTGGCTCGTTACTGAAGATCAGATGGCCAGAATAGATAGAATAAGCAACAAGGTGCTCTGGGAACGAACCAACTAAGAACCTATCGCTCAACAAATATGCAGTGGAAGGAAGTGGAGATGGATTGGGCATACACTGAGAAAGCCAACTAGGGACATCACGTGTCAGGCCAGTCGCTCGAGTGGAATCCCCAGGGGAAGTGACGAGTTGGGTGTCTGTGGTGAGGGTGACATGGGGGAGATCGTGCGAGGAGGAAATGAGAGGTTGTGGGCTGTGGTGGAGCCAGGTTCAAAAGATTTCGGTGAACAGAGTTCACTGGAGACGTGCTACTGAAGCCCTATGTTCCATTAGGAACCCAAGGGACTAATAATAATATAATAATAATAAAAGTATGTTTAGGATTAGTGACATATTATGAAACTATGGCATGAAATTATCATCCAGACTGTTGGAATAATGACGAAACTTTGTTTTCAATAAAGTCATCTTCCTAGTTATACAAGTGACTCTAAACAGTTGATACTGAATAAAGTATATGACAGTGTTGATTGATTTGACTATGCAGTGACGTTAGAAGTCTAAGTCAATCAACCTCGATCATTACCAAGCCTCTCAGACACGATAGCTACGTTGCTAAACACCAAATGACTGATTTGTGTGGATAATCCAATCATCCTAGGGGGAAAAGGGTGAGCTGAATAGTTAAATTCTTTGACTTCTAAACTTGTAGATATACCTTGGTGAACAGTGTTAAAAATTATGACATCAAGGTGAAACAGGATTTCCTAAAGATTGAACTTAAACATCTGACATCAAGCAGCGTGCATTTCAGTATTATGTGATTCTGCTCCGTGATCAAATTATACACCTGGTTGGTGTAAATTGATAAGCACTAAGGGTGAAAAAACTACATTAGATTTCATTAAAAGTGACAAATTTGCATTCAGTTATAGATATATCGAAATCAAACAAAGTTTTCTCAATCTAATTCTGGTAATTGACTTTGATAAGGTAACAGAATTAAATTGCTGAATCTAGGAACAGATTCATTTTCATTCAGTAAGCGGTTTGACATTGAAGAATAGTTCAGTCTGAAGGGGACTTGCTTATTGGTTTAACGTTGATATTCATCATGGACTAACATCAGTTGAAGAACCACTGGAAGTCTTGGAGCACAGGACATCTTTTTCGTTCCAGTGTAGGATTCAGCAGTGATGAATATCAACCTGAAATCAAACAATAAGTTCCCACATCCCTCTAAAATGAGCTGTTGTGGTACTCATAAATGATATGCTTTGAGATGAGATTCCTGAAGTTCTAATGAGAAGTTGTGACCGGTCAGGGGCAACTAAGTTGGACGTGAACCCAGTAACTCAACGAAGGCTATATCGTGAAGTAGAAAATTTGAACTGTAAGTAGTATAAAAAGACTGGCAATCTATTTTATGCTAATGGTGATATGTAAATTCATTGGCATGAAGTTTAAATAATTTTGTCAGTCACACATATCAACAGGATGCAAAACACACAGGTTAGGAAGTTTTTAAACATACTTATAAGCAAGAAAACACTGTTTACATAGGCGACAAAGTATTTCTTTTCAACGACTATATCTATAAATTCAGATTTGATGACGGATTTTTTGAACATCGATTGAGTTTCTTACAAGTTAGAGTTGAACGGTAAAGGTTGCTGATAACTTATGCGATATGCACCTTGACCTTTGCATCGAAACAGTAATAGTTTTTCTTACCTCTGAATAAGAAGTCGAATACTATTTATTATTATCCCAGTACAATCAAATGAATTCAAAGAACAAAAAATTGAATATTCAACAGTTTTGAGCTCCAGCACTAAAAGCATATTGGAATACGTCGATTAAGTTCAATGACATCGATAATCAGCTAACTGACTTGACATAAAGGTATGAGTGGCTCATATACACTATAAATTGAGTAGTAAAGTTTCACATCTTCAAGGCAGAATTTATTTCTGCCATGATTGTGAATTGACTGACATAGGCTGACAATAATTGACAGGGAGGAAAAATCCTTTTATAAAATACTATAAGTATTTTATTTCAAAGTCGTTAGTTATCTGCTATGATTATACACAATTCTGAATCACTAATAATGATGATATGCAGTTAAGGAAGGCTGAACATGTACCTAAGTGGCTACAAAAACAAATGACCTCAACAGATCCGATAAGTGTAGGTGACAAACATCCATCTTCGTCTATCGCTAAACATATACTAGAAACTAACCATAGGATAGACATGAAAACAGCCTTTAAAGTACTACATAAAAGTGGTCAGAGCCGAGTGCCTAGATTTATTGAAGCTCTTGCCATCCGTAAATTTAAACCCCCTTTATGTATACAAAAACAATTTGTACTCACGTTGATCCTACCTTGGTAGTATTGATTTTAATTTTCATACCAAGAATGTTTTTCTTTTCCTTTTCTATCCCTTCCTATTCCTATGTTTCCTATTAACTTCATTGACCTTTTCGTAAATTTTCATATAAATGATGTAATTCTTTTTTCTATCAATACATTACAGGCTTACCTGATTTTAATATGACAAGAAAAGGCAAAAGTGGAACAAGTGAAAAAAACAAAACAACTTTGTCCAGAAAATATGAAGGTAGGAAAGAAAAGAAATCATAAAAGTTCCAGATTCCCTTTTTTTCTAACTATCAATTAGTTGAATTAGAATGTAATCACTAGACAGGAACAATAATAGAACTTCAATTACGCACTATTGTCAATATAAACACTGATATTACAAGACTGATGGTACCATTGCTCAATAACTTTGAATAAAAACCACATTTTCAAATTGTCACTGTACCCTGCCTTCTAATTTATAATATTCATTTCCAGTTGATTTGATTAGTCAGAACATCAGTGATATCTATTATGGGCCTCATCTAGAGAACTTGCATTAGACCGTTATTCTAAAAACGTATGCTCATAGCTTCATGTGAGTTAACAAAAGACACTTAGGTGCTAAGTTGGTGTACAAAAGAAGTCCTAACTAAGTAGCCAGTGTGAATACGATCAAGCGGTAGTAACGCGTCATGAATTCACATGGTAGTCGAGTAAAACCTTTGGTGATTGAAGTGAAATAGAAATCTGATCAACAGCCGGACCTAGTATCTCAGGTGGTAGAGAATCAGGTCAGAAACCCGGTGGTTGCTGATTTGAATCCGATCGCAGTTCAAATTTTTATTTCACCTTGAATCATCAACCTCTATACACACCAGTCTGATAAAACATGGCTATCTTATACAGTTAAAATGATGATAAACACTTGTTGAAAAAGCCTAAATAAGTTAAGCCGATATCCTTTTACAATTACACTTACTGGAATACTCATGTACAACTCCACCATTTCTCAACCTATTGTCCTAATAGAAGTTAGCGATGTTTCAAAAGCTTCAATGATCAAACACTTTCAGCCTAGGTATGCAGTGAAACTGCAATGATTATTTGGCAAAAGCAATAAGATAAATAGTAAAAAGAATACTACTTAACAGCATACTATTCTTATTATGTCTATGATGATAATTCACCAGTTTCACATGTGGCGTAACTCGGTTAATATTCTGTATAAATGCGAATTCACCCAGGAATTCCAAGACTGTAGTTGTAAACAAAGCTTGAGCAATTCAAAAGCAAATACTGAGAACCAAAACAAACGATGTGCTTACTGTACGCTATTATACTGTTATAGACGAATAAAAATAATTTCTATGAATTATGACCAAGATTTTAGCTAATGGTATGGCAAATATTGGGCACTGAGTAAAAGGCTGGTATTAGATATAGTTTGTATTTGTGTAAGTCACAGCATGTTTAAAATGAAAAAATTCCAACGTTTCACATGGAAGTCTGATCCGAGATTCTTCAGCGAGATAATCAATATTAGAATAACAAGGATATGTAAACGAATCTAAGGACGTATTCAATCTCCTTGTCCAAAGATCTTTGAATGGTCATTGTCTTTCTAAAATAATGAAAACTAATTTAAACAGCGTGTTGAGAAGACGAAGATTATCTGAAACATGTGTCATGTATTAACGCTATACAGTTCAAAAAATCTGATCACATATTGACTAGTCGAACTATTTATATGAAAATTTACAAAACGGGTCATCTGTCACTGAACATATACTAGAAACTAACCACATGATAGACATGAAAACCGCTTTTAAAATACTACATAAACGTGATCAGGGCCGAAGGCTTAAATAGATTGAAGCTCTTGCCATCCTTAAATTCAAACCCCCAAAACAATTTGCACTCACATTGAACCTACCTTGGTAGTATTGGTTTAAAATTTCGTACCAAGTGTAACGTGATTGAGATTTTGTTTTTTCTCTACCCTTCCTATTCCTATGTTTCCTACTGACTGAAGTCATTGACGCTTTTCGTAAACCTTCATATAAATAGTTCAACAAGTCCATATGTAATCAGATTGTTCGAAATGTATAGCGCCAATATATAACACATGTTTCAGATAATCTTCATCTTCTCATTACCCTGTTTAAATTTATCAGAGGGACCAGTTGCTTTAAATGATTGCTTATCATTCAGTGTAACCTCGCCTAGTTTACTAACCAGTCCTAAGTCCGGGAAAAGAAAGAAGGTTAAGCTTAGGCCTAGCAACCCTACCTCGGAAAATCAATTTCATCGCTAGAGATACTTCAAAGCACAGACGAAATATAAAAAATAAACTTATTCCTCGCTGGAATCGGGGACACGAAATGACACCCGTTGGTGAAAGCCTGATTTCGGGAAGCCAACTGGCCGATGAATGAAGAAGAAAGTATAGGGATATAGAATGTCCGCACAATGTTTGAAGCTGGCTGGCAAAGCTGCTCAGATTGCAAAAGATATGAGATGTAGCATAAAAGTGCTAGACTAGGAATCTGCAGATGGAATGGAAATGGACTCTCCAAACTGTCAACTGGAGAGTCAATGATCTACTCCGATATTGTCACCCAGACGACAACTACGAGCACACTGAATCTTGGAGTGGCTATCATGATGTCCCCAACGGCATCAAAGGCTCTCTCTCATGCAGTGGGAACCAATCTCCTCCTCCACGATCAGGATCTTGACAGCAAGATTCAACTCAAAAGGAAGAAAAGTTACAATCATACAGTGCCACGCTATGCACCTATAAATAATGCAGATCAAGAGAAAGAGAAATTCTATAGACAACTGCAATCAGTACTGGACAGGACCCCACCCCAGTTAGCGACATCAAAATCCTGATGGGTGGGGTGATATGAATACCGAACTGGTAGAAGACAACACAGGAAGAGAACTAATCATGGGTCAAGAAGCACTGCGTGAAATGATAAATGAGAATAGAGAACTGCTTGCAGACTTCTGCGCATTGAACGATTTGGTGATTGGAGGCAGTGTGTACAAACACAAGGATATTCACAGAGCGACATGGTTTACCCAGACACCGGGACACCAAAAATCAGATCGACTTCATCTCAATGTGAAGAAAGTGGAGATGCAGTCAGCCTACTGGACACAAGATCAGATCAGGAAGAGGAGCAGATGTAGGTTCACACCAATCACTATCTAGTTCACGGAACCTTCCAAATCAAGTTGAAAGCCTTCACAGAAGTTGGTAATAGGTCATAGTTCAAGTTTAACACCCAGAACAGAAAGTGAAGGATGAACCTACAAAGGGCATCTTCACGTCAGTCATCAGGAAAAAATGGGAGACGTTAAGCGAAATCCCCAAGAAAACATGAGTGAAAGAACACTGGGACTCTTTGATAGCGACGTGGAAGGAAACCTGCATAACCATATTAAGAAGGAAGAAGAAACAAGACAAGACGATGGATGGATCTCGATAGATACATGGAAGCTGACAGAGGAGGCAGAGAAAGATGCTGAAGCAGAAGAGGAAGCAGTGCAGTGCAGGGATAAACAACGAAAAGAGGAACTGACTACAACAGCTATATGCTATATGATGCTACATGCCAAGTGATTGACAATGGAAAGCTCAGTGATGCTTTTGAGGTGAAGACAGGAAGGAGTAAGACAAGGCTGCAGCCTACTATCACCGATGATCTTCGTGATTGTGGTCGACTGAACTGGAATGGATCATGCAGCATACCATGAGGAGCAAGAAGATGGGTATAGGCTGGTTGGACCAATGAAAAGAGGCTAGAAGATTTGGATTTCGTCGACGATGATTTATGTCTAATGTCTTGTTGCACAAGCTCGAAGATCTGTGGGTGAAAACTAACAAGTTGGTAAAAGAGAAAGTAAAGCGAAGACGGGACTTCCTTCAGGGGAACATAGAGAAGACAGAGGTGATGTAGATACCCAACCAACAAGAACAACAAACACAAATCACCATCAACGGGAGAAATCTAAAGGAAGTAGTCTCTTTCACCTACCTACCTAGGCAGCATCGTATGAATTACAGGCGACACAGGCACACATGAGGACGTCAAAGCTAGGATCCGAAAGACAGCAAGACAGGTCTTCATCAATCTGAAATCAATGTGGAGATCAACTGCACTCAACTCAGCATAAAGAACAAGATCCAGATTTTTAACACTAATGTTAAGTTAGTGCTTCTACATGGTCCAGAGACTTGGCGCGCGTTATGAAAAACATTTTCAACAAACTGCACATGTACATGAACATCTGCCACCTACGCTCACTCGATACTGATACTCAAGATCAAATGGCCAGAATAATAAGAATAAGCAAGAAGGAACTCTGGCTGGCAACGAACCAACCAAGAACGTATCACCCAACAAATATGCAGAAGAAAGTAGAGATGGATTGGATCGGGCATACACTGAGAAGACCATTCGGGGACATCACGCGCTAGGCCAGGTCCTCAAATGGGAGCCAAATAGGAAATGACGAGTTGGGCGTCCGAGGCGATGGTGACATGGAAGAGATCTTGTGAGGAAGAAAGGAGAGCTTGTGGGCAGTAGTGGAGCCAAGTTCAAATGACTGCAGAGAAGAGAGTGCAATGGAGACGTGCTACTGAAGCCTTATTTTCCACTAGGAATCCAAGGGATAAATAACAATAATAGTAATAGTAGCAATAATGATAATAATAGTAATAATTATAAAATCATTCAATGTGTAAATGTATATCTGTTGTTTTATGGCTAGTGTACGTTAATATTCCTATTCGCCTTTATTGTAAATACATGACAAAAAGGACACAGGTGACATTGTAGTCATTCGATAATTTATATCAATACAATAGGGGATAAGAGGTGGCTATATATTTCAGTTCGCTTGGTACATAAAGGTGAATGGTACTCAAGAGTTTGCATTGATTTGTCCGAACAGAGTGGAAATAAATAGTGGGAATGATTGAGGTGAAAATAATAAAGAATCAAATCAATCCAGGTTGTCATTACTGGTGCAGAGATTGTAAAGTTGAGACTAGTATTGGGTGCAAACTTTAGAGTCACTCTTTCTGCTTACTAATTAGTAACTGCCAAGAGGCAGCTAATTGTACTCCATCCTATCTGTTCAAACTGTCTCGATATACCCATATATGTAGGGGCTTCGGCTGTCAATCTTTCTTGGTATAACTAAAAACCATTTTGTAGAGCTTTGATTCCATCAAAGTCAATTTTGTGGAGTGTAGTGTGATTCCCGATTTGTTTTCTAGCTACTTAACCTCTGCTGAGATTTTTGGAATCTGCTTCAGGCATAGTATATGTTCCTTCACTCAACATTTACCTACTTGGCTATCCCCCCACCCCACTGCAGTACAACCTGTGGATTTGATTTCATACACGCAGTTCTCTTGGTTTTCTTTAGGTACTACATCTTTAA